TCTGTGATTCTGTGATTCTGTGATTCTTGGGACAGCTTTGGCTTGGCAAACACAAGCAAGCCTAAGTGGCCTACAAAAGACAGGGAAAACATGGCTACGGTTTAATTTCTCAGGGTATATTACTGCAAATTCATATTCCATCTGGATGGTAAAATCTTGCAAAATGACAGATTTGCCCATTTTAAACTGTTACTGCTTCTAGTTGTGCATCCCATCTTTCTCTGTGAACTACTGCCCCTTATATGGCAACAGAGAGAACTGGTCATGCACTCTGCACCGTAGCTGTGCCATTTCGGAGTTGCAGCTCCTTATCACATCACCAAACACTTGCTGTTGCTACCAACTGAATCTTTTCTTTTTAAATCTGTCTAGGGTTGCAGAGAAAGTTTTACATATAAACAGTTCAGAGAACAGAAGTGGCAATAACCCTTCCAAATCATCATCTGTACAGAATGTCCTAGTCCTAACCTAATATGTAACAATATCTTGAGACTTACATGCAATTATCCATTCACTAGTCATGTAGAATATTTTTATTAGACATATGTATTAGACATGCATTGTAATATGCATGCCTCACGCATGTTTTACAGAGAATGTTGCAAAATCAAGCATAGCAAAGTCATTTTGGGAGAGATAATATTCAGTCAAAAACTGCAGATGCTGTCTAAGCAGCAACAAGACAGTAGGACTGTCATTGCATCATCACTGGGATTATCACAAGTATAAAGAACATGCTGTTACACAAAAAAATATTGTTAGTTATGAGAAATGAAACAGCTTGTAATTGTCTAAGCATGCAAATGCAACTTCTTTCACACACATTCCCCTCTATAAATGTGTAACAAATATGCTGCCAGTATTTTCAAATGTTTAACATGCTGTATGGAGAGTTAGAGGGTTCCCCTCCCCTCAAGTTGTCTACAATTGTAAGAGAGCTGAGACTTAAAGCCAGCTTTCTCTTGCCCTAATGAGTAAGAACAAGTACAGAACTATTTGCCATGCTCAAAACAAGCTATCATTTAGTTGGAACAACTTGACCTTAGTTTTGGGGTGGGTTTTTTTGGTGTTTTTTTTCCCTGGGTGCTTGTTGGCTTTTTCTTTCATTGGAAAAATTATTCTGTGTGTTCAGTTTGGCTTTGTTTTAGAAAGTTCACATGAGGCTGTGGTTTAATTGAGATAACAGTGGGGTTTCTTCATTTTTTCCTGTAGGTGGTTTGGTTTTATTTATTTTTTTTAAGAAACCAGAAATGAAGCAGAGTTGACTCTATAAGCATTCTCAAACTAGTAATGTGGTGAATAATTAATAATTTTTAACAAACTCTGCAACTTTAAGGGTGGCTACAGCACTGTTCAAATGTCCTGTTAGCCTGTTTCCCTAAGAAAGTAAGGCTGATATAATCCCTTTGTCCATTTCCTTGACCCCTTCCCAAATAACTTATGTGCCCATCAGACAAATTTCAAACAAATCTGATACACTAGAGGTCTGAAAGGTACCAACTTCCTACAGAAAAGAATTGCACAGCTGCAGCCCAGAAGCCATTGCTCCTGAACTTGCCTGCAGCAGATGGGGCAGCCAGGAGGTACATGTTGTGACTAGCCAGATATCAGCCAGCCAAGATGCAGCTTCTGCCAGTGCTTGCACATGTCCAGCCTGTCAGATGAGGGACAGCAAAGACTGGTAAGAACCGCAGGATGGAGGGGGAGAGAGTTGCAGCTGGGGAGAGCAGTTGTGAAGGGGCAACTGCTGGTGTTCAGACAACACATTATTCAGAAAACTACATATGAATAACCACAAGTTAAATAAGTTAATGATAGTAAAGCCTAGAAAACGCTCATGTTCCATCTTGAATGACAACATTAGGCCTGTTTTTTGTCTTTAAAAGTGTGAAAAATGTCTAGAATCTGAAAAATGATCCAACTGACTTCAACCTGTATCACTTATCATAATGTTAGGTGAAAGAAAACTAAAAGCCTCATCCCAGAATATAAGAATGCTTCTGGAAAAGATACTGGCAGTCTATATAAAAATTAAATATACTGCTCTTAGAAAAGGTGCAAATTAAAAATGAACTGGTATATTACACAGTCTAGTTAATTAGATGATTACGATACCTGAATTATTTTGTCACCAGGCTGCAACAACTTAGATGCTGGTCCTTCTGGTTGCACTCTGGTTACAAATATACCCTTGAAAAACAGAGGTGGAAAACGTTTTTAACAACTTATTTCATAAATATTGTAGTAGCACAAAACAAATGCAATTTAAAACATCTGAATTTTCCATTCTAAGCAGAAGACAATGTGATGTTATTCTACAGATCCACTGGCTTTCATGACTGCCTTCCTTTTCTGATGATAAATTCAGGAAAATTGCCTTTAAAAGAATACTGAAGGGCAAATTCTGATCTGCCTTTATTTAATTTGGCAGATGTAAATGTCAAGATGAATTATCAGCCACCAGAAATAGGCTGTAGGCTAAATCATGTTATCTTTTAAGAGGCTTCCTAATTTGAAAACTCCATAATTGATTATCTCAAATCTGTTGACTGATATCTAGAACAGTGCAAGAAACAGTCAGAATAATCGTCTGTGTTTTCATGTGACCACAGTGGTTGCCTGCCATCTTGATTTTCCTTAATAATTTGTCCTTAATTTTTTCCCTTCAAGCCCTGGAATTTAGTGGCTTGGCTTTCGGGGATATACATATTTTAAAATTTGGTAGAAACTAGAACAAAAAAAAATCATAATGATTTTAAGATGCATTAGTATAAAATACTCACATCATCTTCAGATCTGAATGGATTCCCTCTACCACCAACTCCTCCTGATATACTAAATCCAAGTTCTGGATCCTTGTCAATTCTCACTTGAATCTAAGTAGTTACAACCAAAGTTAGAACTGGCTGGAAATTTGCTTCCAAAGATACTGTAATGAAATTGTTATTAAGGAATTCAACTGAACAAAAGCTTTAAAAAAAAAAACCCTCAAAAAGCCCCATTTGTCACAGTTCAAGAGAGTATTATATCTCATAATATTAATTCAGAAAAAGATTCCAATACAACAGCATCTTGTATCACTATATACAAGTTTTAGTCCAATATCACTATGAATATAATCACAGTAGTCCATGCAAGCTTTAAATTCAGAGATATTTAGATATTATGTAAATTAATTTAATGCCCCCAGTAAATATACATGTTCATACAAAAGAACTTGTTCTTCCTATTACTTTGCTACTTCAAGCTGAATTTTAAAAATCAAGCCTAGTTCCTACTTTCACTTTAAGTTCTACATAGCCAACACTGTCTCCCCTTTCTCTTGCCAGAAGAGTTGTCTAGAAAACTTATTTTACACAAAAAGTGGATGTTCTCATTCTAGCACAGAATGAAAACATAGCTCTCAGTATTTTCTCAAAAAACAAATCAATACAGAGGAAACATCCCGTGTCCAAGAACAGAAAGTTGCCCACAACGAAAAAGTCATTAAATTGTATAAGAATTTCTTACCCACATTTGTCTATCACAAATAAAACTGATAATTATCAGGCATGCATCAGATGCTTACACTTTTTTTTTATCCTGGTTTTTGTTTAGGGTTGCACACTTCTACATTTGCAGGTTTTTGAAGCATTCGGGAGAGCAATGCAAAGTATTCTAAGTTATGCTGCTACTTTATATTTTTTCAGTTACTACATCAATAATTAGTTGGTGATCAATAAATGTAGGCAAGAAATAAATTTCTATCTCAGTATAAAGATGCAAACATAAGTTTCTGGTATATCCAGTTAAGAAACTACCACATTTCTCTTTAAAAATGTTCACATTAAAAGGAAAAAGAGATCCAAACTAGAAGGAATGTGTGATTTCAGTAGTAGAACTGCACTGAGATAACATTGTCTTCTGCTGGAGATAAATTCCTATATGATTTCTGTCACCATCTACAGAGAAACAGTAATAAACGAAAACAATATAACGATTCACTACCACTGACAGACAGATGTTATATATTCAACTTAGATTTTATCCTTACCTCTTGCTTTCCCAATTCGTGGCTTTGTCTTGGGGAACACTGAGACTGGGTATAGGGAGGTTGATGGGCAACTTTCAGCATCAGATAATCAAGTAATTGTTCTCTAGATGAATGTCTTGCTACTGATGATTGAGGAGGGAGATGATGGACTTGGCTGTAGTTTGTGTGAGGTCTTTGAGGTTGGCACATTTGTCCATTTGTCAAAGGTATCTGAATAAAACATGAATACTCAATGTCATACATTTTATAAGCAGCAATCCTCAATTCCTCCTTTATTATTTCTATATTTCTCATGGTTGACTGCTTTTAATTCTAGGAACATTACTAAAACTACTCTTCTGGATCATGTACAATTGCACTCAATTTTCATTATATTCATCAGCTCTGACCTCCTGAGAAAAAAAATCTGAAAAACAAATACTTACTTTGAGTGCTAATCTACTAGAACAGACTAGACAAGGTCTTTACTTTTAGCACTTGTTTCACTGAGTTATCTCAATCATTATTTTACGGCAGTAAAATGGACAGTATTGACACCTGGATGATATCATTATAGTTTGCACTTATATTGCATAGAATTCAAAGATTTTCTAACAATTTCCAGTAGATCATACACACAAGAAAATCCCACACAGCTAGCGGACAGAAATTATATGCCGAGTGTCTTTTGGTGACTACTTCACATGAAAATGAAGCAAATTCACATACAAGCTCAAGATTTTAATATTAAGACTGTAATGATCTTTCCAATAAATGTTATTTTGTTAAAACGTGTCACTGATTTGATAGGTAAAATGATAACAAATAGCAGTAAGGTACACAACTGTAAAGACATACAGTGCATTCAAACCATTTCACTAAGAACAATGCTGAAGATTACATTTCTTACTGAAGACTCAGTTACTGTTCAGCTCTGCGTTGAGATGGGCAGCCTTTCCCTTACTCACCCATATGCCTTGTGTTCTTACCCAGCCTAAGTCACTCATTGTAGAGAGAGAGAAAAAGTTAGTCA